AAATTAATTCATTATGGAACTTGCTCAATTTTCCAAAAATAATTTCATAAAGACAAGCTGTATAATATATAATGAAACATTAGTAAAATACCATATATTGGGTAAAATTAAGCTGATACTAAAAGCAATATATTATCTAAAAATGTGTAATATAAAGGAAGCCAACCTACACAGTATTAAAAATCACCTCAATATGGACTTTTTTTTCCAGTTAGCATTGATCTAATTATCCTTCAAATGTGATTATACCAAAGCATACACTTTGCAGATGGGTTTCATGAATTCATTAATAAAACCAGTGTAGGACATTCAGTTAGCACAAGAAGTATTCATTCATTTATTCATTTATTAATGTTTATTGAGGGTCTACTAAGAGCCAGGTACTCTTCTAGGCGCTGAGCACACAATTCTGTACAAATCAGACAGAATTCTTGCTGTAAGGGAACACTCTCATAGAATGCAGCATTCTAGGCAGGGAATGGGTAATTACATTGTCTCTAGCAAAAGAGATGAGTGAAATGCCGTATTTAACAATCAGTGAGCCGTCTCAGGTATGGCTCCTAGCCGGCCGAGGCGAGGAAACTCATGTCCAGAGAGAGTCTGCTCGTACAACCCGAAGGCTTCCACCTGCAGAGCAAACTGTCTTTGGTGGTTCGTGTTCGATCTCAATTTATAAGGTTTGTATTTTCCTTAGCCGTGTTTGTTTCAATGCAAAAGTAATAGTGGATTTGGGGGTTATTTTCAAAACCACATATTCACACCCCAGAGATACCCCTGCAAGATGCCCTCAGCCCGTCTCCCCCCGCCGCCCCTCCCTCCGCCCCTCCCCCCGGGTCGCCCACTGACGCATGCCAGAGGGCGTCCATCCTCCAGCTTGTCGGGTGGTAGGCAAGAGATGCCGCTAATGTACCAAGTAGGGATTGAAATCTCAATTTCATTTTTAAAAAATATTTACTTTTGGACAGAAGGGAAGGGCGGGAGGAAGAGAAGGGGAAAAACATCAATGTGTGGTTGCCTCTCGCACACCCCGCACCAGGGAACCTGGCCAGCAACCCAGGCATGTGCCCTGACTGGGAATCGAAGCAGCAACCCTTTGGTTCGCAGGCCTGAGCTCAATCCACTGAGCACACCAGCCAGGGCCTTAATTTCATTTTAAAATGAAATATTTATTACGTTTTAATACAAAGGAATTTAAAATGCAAACAGTAAGTAAGTGAACGTCTCCCTGGCCAGATACTTCTTGTGAAATACAGAAAAGCAACATGTTAAAAACAAAAGCCAAACAGTACAGACAGAGAGCAAAATGAAAAATAAAAACGACCCTCACCCAATCCCATTCAACAAATTTAACCATGGTTAGATGTTCTTTTTGTGATCCCTTTTAGAAAAAAATGTTAGTGTTTTCTTATACATACCTGTACCTACATATAGGTAGGTACACACAGGTACCTACATCCAGGTAGGTACATGTGTATTGTACATACCTATGTATGCATGTAAATATGAACACAATCAGAATGTGATACTGTGATTTATAATAAAAAACATGTATCTGGTGCACTTGGAGAGGACAGAGGGCTCTGACCCCTTTCCCATGCCCTGCCCTGTGCATGTCTTTCATCCGGCTGCTCCAGGGCTATGTCCTTCCATAACACAGCAGTGACCTAGTGAGCAAACTGGCATCCCGAGTCCCGTGAGCTGCTCTAGTGAATGAATCAAACTCAAGGATGGGGTTGTGGGAACCTCTGATTTATAGCCAGTTGGCCAGGAGCACAGGAGACAGCTTGGACTTATGATTGACATCCAAATTGTGGACAGTTTTGTGGGGCAGCGCCCTTAACTAGTGGGATCTGACACTTGTTTCAGGCGGATAGTGGCAAAATTGAGTTGAACAGTAGCATACCTAGCAGGGGCGTGAGAATTGTTTGTTGTGGACAAGAACACATTGAAGGGATTATGGACAGTGTTTGGAAACTTGCTTTATTTACTTAAAAGATCAGCATGCTTTCTTATCAGTATATAGAGGATACTGATAATGAAAGAGGATCATTCAAAAATTATTCTCTTTTTAATGGCTGCATTGTATTCCTTGATAATTCTAGATTTTACTTAACTAACTTGATTGCTTTATGGCAGTGGTAACTTTTAAAACGTTATTTATGTTAAGCATATTTATGTCACTGGATCACAATCGGGAGGTTATGGGAAGTAAAACAAGATGTCAGAGATGCTTCTATCGGGTGGGAGACTGAAGTCTAAATCTGTCGTTGCTGTTGCCCAGTGTGGCTGGGGCAGGCCCAGCCCTCTGTGTCTCCCAGTCCCTGGATTCTGCCGGACACAGAGAGTAACTGAGGCGGTGAGGTAGACTTCGAACGTCTCTGGGGGCTCTCCTTATTCCAGCAATCCTTAACAAACATGCAGGTACTTAAGATGGGCTTCATCAGATCCTTTCCGTAGAAGTCTCTGGTCTGCAGTGGGACAGGTAGCCATGCAGATGGGTCGTTTCCATAGTGTGGCCAGTGCCGTGGCCTCGGTATGCTCGGGGTGCTGAGGCAGCGGGCGTGGGGACACCAAGTCCACTTAGCGGTGTCAGCGTGTGTGTGTGCATGTGCGTGTGGAAGAGGCGATTGAAATCTTCTTGGAGGAATAGTGCCCGAGCAGAGTTGCTGAGGTCAGCGGCAGAGGAAGGGAGAGTGGTAGAGAAGGGCACCTCAGGCCAGGGAAGAGAGGGGGAAGAAGCAGCATGGTGAGTTGGGGGAATTGTCAGAATATAAAACTTGAGGCAGGAGATGAGATCTCTCTCCAGAGAGGGACCTGTTTATGGAGAGCCTTGTATGTCATGCCAAGGAGCTGGGAATTCCTCATTAAGTCAGAAGACACCCATGTCCCTTGTGTATCAGTTAAATACTCTATGACTATTATCACTCATGGGAACTCTGGAAAACGTCATTCCTTCCTCTGCTACAAGTGTAGGAGTGAGCCAACTATGAGATTAATTATCTATTGATATTGAGCCCTAGATTCTTGCTGTAGTGTCTGATTTTACATGAGTCTTCAGAGTACGCAAAGCTCTCACCAATGCCTGCCTGATCTCACTGCATGGGAGGGCTGAGGGTGGTATAGGTGAGCGAGTTTAAATCCATCACCTCTGTCAGAAAAACAGCTTACAGTAAGTTGGCCTGCAGCATCTTTGGGCACCTAAGCTGTCACTGTCATTTTATAAAATGCAGAAACATAGCCAATCATACGAAACATATTCCTTGTGATTGGGCTTAAAAAGAGAACTAGATGGAGTGTGAGTGTGGTGAGTTGGTCTGATGAGTAGTAATTGATATTTATTTTACTTGGTTTCTAGGCCTTTTTATTTCTAACCATCCATTTTTTTCTTTAATGTTAAGCTAAACTGTTAGTTATCTAGTATTAGGTTGATGAAAGGCACTGGCGGGAAGCAAATTTGGAAGAGAGGAGTTCAAAGGGGAAGACTTAATTCCTTTGCTAAAAATAGAGATCAGTCCATTTTAAGCACAAACACAGGATTGGAAAATGAACGCTGTTTGCGGGGAAGGTGCATTTTTGTAGAAAGAAAGGCGGCGTTCCTCATTGATCTCAGCACAGCTCATTTATGTGTACCGTTTTACTTCTTTTTCTCCTAAAGTTTTTTTCACATAAAACTTTTTTCCTGACTCATCCAGAATGGGATTCCAGGAAGATGTGTTTATGTTGCTGTAGTTTGCAGTTGTCGTCTGCAATGTTTTATGTAGCCGGATCTTCATTTTTTCTTACTGCTCCCTGCACAACGTGGAACACCATATGCCGTCACCCCTGTCGGGAAGCAAAGGTTTCCCTGGTCGGTGCCTGTATTTATGCCACAGAGGAGGTGTGGTCCAGTGCCATCTTTTATTGATGGGGCCAGCAAAGGAGACATCTAATGAAATTATCAAAGCTTTGAATTAATTATGAACTTGAACAGGAGAGCTAAGCTCTCTGGAGCCAAGGATCTCATTACCCATGCACTCGCACTGCATCCTCTTCGGGAGCAGAAGGCATTTTCAGCGACAGCTCTTAGCTTGGCTTTGGACTTGGTTCAAACTTGCTAAACTGACATCGTCTTCTTACTACGATGTGGCTGCTGATGTCCACGATGATTAGCTTAATTCTGCTCTGGATCTGCAGGCGATGTCAGTAGGGTTTCTCTACCCCTCCTTTTGCCTTTTATTGTTTTTTTTTCTTTCCTTTTCCTTTCTTTCATCACATGGGATGTTATACAAGTTCCTATCCTTTTTGAATAATGTGAGACGCTTTTAGGACTCGAGTGTAGCTTCTTGGAATACAGAGATTGGTTTAAAGTTAAGAGCTGTATTACTTCTACTGTGTATTCCCTGGATACCTAGGTAAGCAAAGTCAAATCCTTCTTCTCTGAACTTTGAACACCCAAGAAGTGTTTCTTGCTTGTTTCTACTGTAGAACGAATGGAGTAAGAATAACTCCCCTGGTCTGAAAACACTGTTCATAATTTTAAAGAGTGCTGTATGGGAACCACCGATCCCACTTTGTGGGGATCTCCTAGGACTTAGGCTCCCCGAAAGAGAGTAGTGAATGTTTTCTAAACAATTCTGGGTTTCCTTTCCCAGGAATATGAAATTTTTTATGAGTACATCACCCTCTGATTGTCTTAACTGCAGCAGCAAAATCAGTAACGACAAGGCTTCAGTTTCCTGTCGGTCGCAGCTCTTTGGTGCTGTCACGGAGGTTCAGAGGCTCTCAGGGCAAGGCTTCTCTGCCTGCTGTGGAGACCCGGTATCTCTGAGCTCCCCAGCTGCAGCTCGTCCATCTCAGTAAACTAGAGGCCGCTGGCAATGTTTGCAGGCAGTGACTAACTTTGCTTTATAGCATCAGTGTTTTAAGATTTTTGAATACTGGGGATGGGGCAATGATAATCTTGGCTTTTTCTTTTCCTATTCACCTTCAGCGAGTTTTCCCCCCATTTATTTTCTCTATAGGCAGCAGCAATATTTAATTCAGCCTTTGGAAGTTTTTTGGTAAGTAAACATGGTTTCACTTGTCTATTATATGTAACTTTTGTTGTGACATTGTTTGTATGAAAGATTTAGTGATATTGGGCTTCTTTTACTATATGGTTAAATATAAGAGTTTTTGTATCTTTTATGATCCATTATCCATAACCTGGAGAAAAATAGTTAATAAATAAAAATTTTTTTCTCTCTTACAGTATAATTTGTAGACCTGGGTTTAATATTCCATTTAATGGATTCATGGAATCAATTAAAACACTATGTGTCTCTTTATAGAGGTTATGTCAATATATTGATCATTTGATGAGGTCCTTTAGATTATTATTATTTTGTATCATGGGGCTGAGGATTTTGAAAAGGAGACATGACCCAGCTGCTCAGACAGCGAATGCTCATTTGCTTGTTGACATGTCATTTATTTCATCCATTCCATCGTCAGAGAATCTACTGTCTTGGTTTCTTCTGAGAAATCTATGTGAAAAAAAATTCAAAATGAGGAAATAACTAACAAGTAATTCACAAGAAAATGTAATATTTTTTCAATAGGCGAACTATAAATTGAATGTAAAAAGATTAAAAATAGTTCGACTTTCATACATATAATTACAATATGTTGTAATTAAAGGATAACACTATTTTAGCATTTTTAATCATTTTAAAGATAGATGATATAACAAAAAATGTGATTTGTGTTATGAGTGAATGAGAAAGAAGCTGAATTTTCTGTTAATTGGATATTTTTATGTTTATGCTCCCTAAAACTTTGCTGAATTCACAAAAATAAATTAGAACACTGAATTTTGGGTGCATAACTTATTTGCAGATACGTGGTCCCAACAACTGAGAGTAGAATCAGTGGAGTGTAAACTGGCTCATGTGTCTTGGCAAAATGTCAATTGCTTCTGTATAAAATGCTTTTGATGTTATTTGTTATTGTATGTATTTAAATGTAGTATTTATTACAGAGTGTGAATTCTACATACTTCTATACAGATTTTAATGTTTCAGTGTTACAGAGCTTCCACTTACATAACTTCTGCAAAATATGTTTGGGATAGATCTTATTTTTAAAATAGTAATGTTATTCCTGAAGCGGTATTATTATTGGGTTTGAGAAGAGAGATAATAGAGTCTATTTAATGAAAATGATCTCTTGACCTACTTATGTTAGACTCAATAATATTTGAAGTCATTACTGCCTGCGTGTAAGTATCATTTTCTGTACGTTGTCACCATTGGCAGAATAATATGTTAAATATGATCTTGCTGGAAGCCAATTTTTTTATGTGGTTTGGAATCATATACATTCACTATCAAAGCACGGTTTCCTAAGCTGGATCTCTGCTCTTTTAAATGTCTAAGGTCACTGAGAAACTGGGTTGAGGCCATTGTCTGAGTAACTAAAGCAAAGTGCATTGTCCCTTGTTTGGAAAACAAGCTCACTGGGCTTGGTTGCAGCTTCACACTGACTCTGTGAACGCCGAACACATCGTGGTGTTTGCTCCACAAGGTCCCACTCTCGGACAAAGTTCAGCGGAGTAAAACTTGTCCTGGGCAATCTTTCCGGTTTTTATCATGTTTTTTCACTTCTAAAAATTGGTGCATTCTCACTTTTTAGTCTTCTGCTTTTCCCCTTCTCTTGATCTTCTATCTTAATTCAGTTAATCAGTCAAAAGTATTTATTGACGTCCTGCCACACAGAGGTCGTTTTCCAGTAGCTATAGGGGGTGCAAAGAAATAGGACGTGGGTCCCTCTAGGTTGTGAAATTGGCACGGGCAAAAAGAAACACGATGTAAAAGTGAAGAAGTCAAACGAGAGATGTTACTGTATGGCACGTTACTTTCAGATGGCAGAGGGCATGTGCGCTCCTCCTTCAAAGGTGAGACAGAAGCAGCTTCTCTGGGCTGGGCCTCAGAGTGTGTCAGGGCTTCGCCAGTTGGGAAGAGCAGAGCGGAGAGGAGACGGCAGAGCAATGCCAGGGAGACGCTAGTGTGGGTCTGTTCTTCCCATTTTCCTTTCTACTTCATGCCCGTGCCTTTTCTTCCCCAAAGCTGAAAATTACCAGAGAGGGTTTGAGAATGAAAATTGTGATTGGAGATGTTTTGCTGAAGTGTTATAAAAGAAACAATTCTATTTCTTTTTTTTTCTCCCTTCTCCATCTTCGTTTACAGTAAGCTTTGGATTATGAAATATGTATGAGTCTTAAAGAAATCAGTTAGAATTGGGTTCAGCTTATTTAACAAAAAAAAATAATAAAAGCAGCTTATACAAGGTAAAAGTTTATTTCTGGATTACGTACAATCTGGAGGAGGCCGTGCAAGGATGCTACAGTGGCCTCACGGTCTCAGTGTGGACTGAAGCGCCGCTCTCCCTCCTCTACCCTCCACAGTGAGCTTGCTTCCCGTAGGTTGCCTGGTGACCCAAGACAGCTGCTGGCACTGCGGCCAGAAAGGTGCCTGGGTAGCAAGGCAAAGTGAAAGAGGACAGAAGGGCTCCCCTGAAAGAAAGCTCAGTCTGCCTGGTAAAAAGAGCATCCCAGAATTCCAGCACCATACTTAGTAATGTTTTATTGTAGAACTTAGTCATGTGATCATACCTGGCCACTGGAGGGGCAGGACATTGCCCATTCACTAAGAGCTGACATCTGGGTTTCTGTTACTACGGGAGAGGAGAGTGGGTCGTAGCAGGCAGCTGGCACTTCCTGCACATGGACACCGTACAGCGGTGGTGGTCGGGAGTTCGAAGAAGGAGATGAATCGCAGTGGAGTGATATGAGAAATCTTCAGGGAGAAGTTGAGGCCTGAACTGGGCTTGGAAAAAAGACTTATTTTAATTCTGAATTATAAACTTCAGGTTATATTTTGTTATTCTTAAAGGGTGGTACTTGTTAGGGGTTTGGGGGAGTTTTCTTTATAAATGGAAAATATCTCCCTATTCCTTTTTTAAAAATGTTTTATTGTTCAAGTACAGTTGTCTGTATTTTCTTCCCACCACGCCCACCCACCCAGCCATCCCCACCTTCCTCCCCTGATCCCACCCCCGCTTGGTTTTGTCCACGTGTCCTTTACAGTTGTTCCTGACAACCCTCCTCCCCTTCCCCCGCATTGTTCCCTTCCACCTCCCCTCTGGTTACTGTCAGAGCGTTCTTAATTCCAATGACTCCCTATTCTTAACATTTAGGATTATGGGTAGTCGTGTGGTTTCTGGCGTCAGACCTGCCTGGGTTTCTGTCCTTACTCGGCTGAGCCCTGGCCTCACCGCCCACCTTCCCGTGCATGTGAAGTGAGATGAGGGTGGTGCCTGCGCTGTGCAGTCGCAGTGAGGACTGAGTAAGATAGGGTGCTCGCGCCGTGTCCGAGCTCTGCCGTGGTTTGTGTGAGACCATGGACACACACACAAAACGGAACGGGTTCTCTCTGACCAACTCCTGTAGTGTTAAAATACACCGAGCCAGCGATTATTGTCTGGTGATGAGCGACCGTTTCTTTTGTAGTTACATATTGGGATCTGAAAAGAGTATTTACTTTAGATTACCTTGAAACTCTGAATGAAAGGCTTTTATTAGAAGAATTTTTGAAGAAAGAACTCTGAAGGCATTCTTGTTGATTTTCAGACTTCTGGGTATACCAAATAAAATAGCATACAGATTTATTTATAGCTAGTTTAATAATGTCCCAGGTATAATTAAAACATTGTTTTAAACAGCTAATTGTTACAGAAAATTGTTTGTTTTTTAATGTAGCTAGGCTGGTAATAACCAATGATAGATGAATTCAATTTACATAAATTTCAGAACAAGAGAATATTTTAAAATCATGCCACAGAGGATTGCTTTAAGTTAAGAAGTTAATGTCATTATCTCCTCCTCTTATTTAAATTGTTTGGTTAACAATAATTGTAGAGCATAATAAGTATTTTGAGATTTCCCTTGATGAGGTTTTAATATAGTTTGATAGTCAACCACCCAGAATAACTAAAATACCATTAAAATTATATATTTTTCTATGTAAAAGCATGTATTTCATGTTCAGATACCTCATATGTTGCTTCCTCATCAAAGGGAAGATTTCTAAAAAGAAATATCAGTGACTTTTGAAAAAATTTCACCTGAAAAATTCTTTCATTTGAAAACATTCAACTGTATTGAAAAAACCTTCAGTCACATGGTTTGTTAGACCTGTGGCATTTTTGGGTTGGAGGCTGAATTTGGTATTTTCATGTTTTCAAGATCATAGGCTAAAATGTAAAAGGTAAAGGTAGAACTTTTTCTTTTTAGACTCCTCAGCCAGTGTTCTGGTTTAGGTAACTCCTGATCTTAGAGGAAAACTCTATGAGTAGCTAAGTTGATCATCTGAATAGAGTTCCTAATAACCATCTTATACAACATCATAGTGACTCATGGCACCATACATGTAAGGGTTTCTGAAACAGCCACAAAGAATTACAAGCACAGTTAAGTCATCTTAGTGAATGCAGTAATCCCGAGTCTAAAGAAGATCTGTAAGAGTCACTGTAGATGTAGAAAGAAAACTTAACTGTAGAAAGAATTAGGAATGGTTCTTCATTTAAAGTATTAGGAATGGTTCTTTTCTTCATATAAGTCTTCTCTTAAAATAGTAATTGCTGCAACCAGAAGAAGCTATTATCTTCCGAGATTAATAATTTTGTTTCTTTTCACGTGAGACCAGGTGTTCAAGGAGCTCAGTGCCTTGAGCCGAAGAACTGACCGTCCATCTGTCGGTCTTTCCTCTTCGTGCTGGCTGGGCCACCCGTGCTCCCCAGCTTTGCAGAAAGATTCGAAGAGCTGACTGATGCTATTGTAGGCGCTGAAAGAAAGAAACCCCAAACACGAATGGCATTGTTGAATAACCTGGGGTGTAACTTCTTTTGTTCTTCCTTTCCTGTATAAAACACGTGCTCAAGCGCACTGAGAGTGGTCAGAGCACATTTACTTGGTTATTCCCGGTGGCAGGGCGGCCCTGCTCTTTAACAATCAGAGCAAGAG